TTTAATTGCATGAAATTGCCAGATGGTGATTTGGAGGAACGGCTAATTGCGTTATAATTATTGAAAGTCTCTGAAGAGTAAGTTGAAAGTCTGAGAAAATAATGACAAAAAGAGAAACGAGTTAAGAATTTTATTATAAGTAATAAATTAAAAACGGTTCCAAAGAGTATCGAAACCAGGATTATTTTGCCAAGATTTTGCAAAACCAAGATTCACCATTTTAACCTCTTCCCGCCGATAAGAAGAAGATGTGATTAATAAATTTTTTGTCCTTCGAAATTAAATCTGTTTTTTTGCTTACATTCATACTATCTGTCCAAAAATATATATTTTTAGAGAAAAGTGTTATCCAAATTATTTTAAATAGAGTAAGGTATGTGGGTCATACCGAAAATCTTAAATTTGGGTTCTGTTCATGTTCAGTCTGAACATCCATCTAAAACGTGTATATTGTTACAGAAAAGAATTACCTAAATTATTTCTAAGAAGACTATCTGAGTTAAGCCTAAATCAAAAAACATTGCCCGCCCCACAAAAACACCATCATCTTTACAGAAAGAAACGACAGAAAATTCTAAGTGCGCCATGGGTTTATTAACACTTACTCAAAAATTAGGACGATCGGGGTGGATTTTTTTACAGTTGTGCGTTTATCACCATATTTGTACATGAACGCACAACTGTAAAAAATTTAAAATCAAACTCAGCGTTGCTATTGCACGCTCCAAAAACAATAACTTATTTCCAATAGCATTTTCGGATACAACAATACATATATTTTCGTTGTCCTCTTATTACTAAGAGAAAAAACAAGAACAACATCTATTCCATACCTGAAGATGTCTGTAGGAACAGACGAAAGCTTGTAGTAAAAATAAGAACTAATGCGGCAGAAATTTATAGAAACAAGGATCTTTTCATTCATAACGGATTCGGAGGTTTTTGTATATTATTTGAATTGTTTGCGACGATGGATTTCTCGCCAATTAAATCATTAAACTTTGCATTTGTTTTTGTGTGAATAATTCATGAATATATATATATATATATATATATGTGTGTGTGTGTGTGTGTGTGTGTGTGTGTGTGTAAAAATCAAATTTCAAGGAGGATTATCTCTATAAACGAAGACCCACAAAACCGCAGACACTGAAGAGTCATCAGATGTTTGCTCTCGCTGCCACCTAAAAGAACACGCACTCATTTCCGTGGCTGGATCCAACACGCACACACTCACATAACATGCAGACCAGCTTCAACTAATTTTATAGAAATTACTGCTGGTCTTCTCAAATTTCAATCCAGTAAGCGGAGAACTTAATATTTCGATAAATAATAGAGACATTTTCTTAATCAGTTTAATTTTTTTCTTTTTCTATAAAAAAACCCTACTGTTACAGTTATCAACAGTGTTTTCTATATTTTTAAGGATTTCTTATTGCAGCCCTGATTTCCAAAGTTGGCTTTGGTAGCAAAGAGACAAAAGATATAGAAATTACGCAATCTTCTCTGTTGTATGCAACGTACATATTCGTTCCATCATTTGACTCAGCCGTCAATTCCAGTATCGTAAGATTTAGGGAAGTCCGGATCAGACCCAACGAGACGACGCACCGGACCCTAACCAAGGAGTGAAGTGAATGCCGAGTGGCTTGTAAGGTCTGTATTATTAAAAAAATAGCGGAGCTAGCTACTGACAGAGAAAGGAAGAGACGGGAAGAATAGGGTGTCGGTTACGCTTTATTAAATACTTTCTTATCGTGTTTTGGCATTTATATTTCTTTTTGCGATATAATTCTGATAATGAATATACCATTTCTTGTACCAATGTATTTATCTTATTTCTGCTCAAATTCTGCTACTCTGTACATTCATCGGAATTTGGACGATAAAAATATGTGTATGTCTCATTAAGCTGGTTGTACGATGGATCTCGCATTTATTGTAACCTGGTTTTATAGAAGCCGATACAAAGGTGGATCTTCTAAGTTCTTTCGCTATGTCCCACGCTATCGTATATTTCATTTGTTATTTTCGTAAACTTGTTAACAGCAAATCATTTATAGTATCTCTTATAATCTCATCTACTCTTACTTCTTCGCCCCTGTCATTGTTGGCCAGTGCTGACCTGACATCAGACCAGTGTATTCCATGTCTTTTCATAAGTTCATATATTTCAATTTAGCTCTTTCTTCAGAGAAGAGTTCTCCAACTAATTCATATATCTTTGAAACTTTTTTTCTTTCTATTATAAGCATTTCCTCTTTTGATATTACGCAAACCTTTACTTTTTTTTTTATTAATTTCTGCTTAGCTTTCGTATCAATGATCGCCATTCTATATGTTACTAAACACTTTTCGTTGAGTCATTTCTCTTTTGCTTATCTGCATTTATTTCTCATAATTATGTTTAATTTTCTATATTATGGGCCATTCCTTGGCATTGTTTACTGATTTTTTTTAACAATCATATCGATAATTTCATCAGTCATGAACATCTTTTTTCCGCTTTCACCTTCCGATTGTTGCTGTTGTTCGTCGATTTTACAAGAAAAGTTCTGAATATATTCCATCGTGAATTTCCAGTTTCATCCTGGGTACTATATTTGCTGTTAACTGTTGCATATAGGTCGCTACAAGTTGAGCTCTTCGGCAGTGTTTCGTATTATAGTTTAGGCGTTGTTTTGGATATCATTAATATGCTTAAATTTGTACTGCTTTGCATATAACACGGATATGATGGGTCACTTAGAGATGTTTTACTGCACTCCTGAATGTTTTTTGACTGTTTTAGACTTGATCTGGGTTTTCGTGTCACATAATGGGCTTCTTCATATCCATAAACTCAGAGTGCTCATGAAACCATGTCTTGTTCATAATTTCATCATTTTCTTCTCAGCACACTTTGCTGGATTCTAATTGTACAATCACTAGTCTCTCTCTCTCTCTCTCTCTCTCTATAGATATATATATATATATATATATATATATATATATATATATTGTAATTGATATATATATATATATATATATATATATATATATATATATATAAAAGAAATATGTTGTAGTGGTTCCAACGAGAGAAAAGTATGTATATTAAAAAGAAGAGGGGTGCCATAAAACGTTTTTGGTTGTAATGTGGATTTATTGAGAAAAAATATTATACTTTGTTTTACATAATTTCACGACACGTGTTTCTGGTCTGGTCTCGCAACCGTCTTCAGGTGAAAGTGGAGATTTTTACATATTATTAAAAATAATTAATTTTTCTTCATGTTCAATGTGGAATATTCTCGATATGAGACATTCTCTTTGTGTGTTGGCAATCCGAATTTTCTTTCTAGAATTGTCAATGAAGAGTTCTGCGTGAAGGGTCATAAAACAATTAAGGTTTGTCCAGCGAGTAGTTATCGGCATTTAATCTTTTAATGTTTTAAAATGTGTTGTGATACAAAAAGTTTTCTGTTGTCTGTCAATTTTATATTGCTTTTGTGTAGGGAGACCCTGTTGTTCAGTTGTTGGCTGATGCCTATATGACTTCTTACATTTGTGCATTTAAGTGCATAAACTACATTTTTTGGAGTTGCAGTTTAAGTTTTGTTTATTGTGAATGTTTTTTTTTGGGTTTTCAAAAGTGTAGGAGTTTCCTTCTATAATGATGTCACAAACTCCACATCTTTTTTTGTTGCATTTTGTGACTCCCTGTATTTTGTGTTGACTAAATGTAACCAGGGTAAGTTTAATATCATGCCGATATATCAAACAGACAATTACTCGTATCTACAAATACAGGAAAAAAACTTTATAGACAAATTCAAACCCGAACTGAATAGATCGTAACCCAAAAAAAAAAAAACATGCACACAGGGTGACCAAATACAATGATCGCTCACATACATGGACGCACACTCATATACGGGAGACACGAGGAGATATATATATGTGTGTGTACACATACATACATTTATGTATGTATATGCGGATGTTGACAACTTAAGAAGTACGTGTGTGTGTGTGTGTGTGTGTGTGTGTGTGTGTGTGTGTGTGTGTGTGTACTGGTTCCATGTAGCTTGGGAAATATGTGTATATGTGTGTGTACTGACTACTTGTGGTGGGATAGTGTGTATGTGCGTATGTGTGTGTGTATGCGTGTATAAGTACAAATAAGTTTACGAATTCCTCGTAGTAAGGGAAATATACGCACGCATATATACACGCATGCTGACAGGAACACAAAAAAATAGAAACAGATCCAAGAGCACATAGAGGTCACTAAAAGCATTAAAAGATTAAATGCCGATAACTACTCGCTGGACAAACCTTAATTGTTTTATGACCCTTCACGCAGAACTCTTCATTGACAATTCTAGAAAGAAAATTCGGATTGCCAACACACAAACAGAATGTCTCATATCGAGAATATTCCACATTGAACATGAAGAAAAATTAATTATTTTTAATAATATGTAAAAATCTCCACTTTCACCTGAAGACGGTTGCGAGACCAGACCAGAAACACGTGTCGTGAAATTATGTAAAACAAAGTATAATATTTTTTCTCAATAAATCCACATTACAACCAAAAACGTTTGTGGCCCCTCTTCTTTTTTATATATATATATATATATATATATATATATGATCGGCGAATCACAATCCGTGTTGCAGCTGTGACCTTCAATGATGCTCGATGCCAGAAGCTCATCGCTGCCAGAGACAAATACCAGAGGGCATCATCAGCAGTGATTGTAACAACAGACTCTCAGTGCCTACCACTGTTTAAGGCTCTGCGCCTCAAACTTTGGGTTGCGGAGCCAACTCCGTGTTCACAGATGGGAGTCAGATAACAACACGTCATCTTCAGATATATATATATATATATATATATATATATATATATATATATATATATAGCTAAATGCACACACACCCATATGCTTATATATGATAAAAATATAAATTGTCAAAATCGATTATATATCGATCTATTACAGCCAATGCTTATCTATCTCAATTTCTTTGTATCTATCTATCTATCTATCTATCTATCTATCTATCTATCTATCTATCTATCTATGTCAGGGATATGCAAATATGTGCGGTGTATTTGCTTTCGACTTTGCAGTTTGCGTTCAAACACGAAACAGATAGACGCCGCTCGGCGTTGACCTCAGTGTCTACTTCAAACTGGTGTAATGGTTAGCAAGGTTGTCTCAACTCCGACTAATTAATGAGTTCGATTCTCACTGGGGGTTCCACACATACGGCCTTGTCCCGCATCTAAGGTACGCTTAGATAATCATTTGCCTCAATTATTGTATTTCACGATAATATAACTTTAGCACGAATATCCGGTAGGCATTTTGACCCCACTCCAATACCCATTATATATGAAACAATTTAGTTTCTCTGCATACCGGGCATATGTTTAGGACCCACAAGTATGTGATGGAACAAAATAGTAATCTTCTCATTGACACGCGTGATAACAGCATATTTGATGGTGTAAGTTTCTTTCGTCTGATCTACTTTCCTTCCTGTCAAGAATTCCAAAATTATTCTTTCATTCGATAAGAAAGATGTCGTATAAATGTCGACTCCAGTTTTTCAAAATCTTCATTTTTATTTAAAGTGCCTAACGGTAAATTAAGACGAAAAAGAATCCGTTATATTTCATGATAGAAAGAAAAAAATGTCTATCTATGAATGAAGCATATAGTAATGAAAAGATTGAATGCAAAATCTGAGTAGTGACGTTTCTCTTCTTTATCAGTTTATTCAATCTCATCAATAGATTTTTCTCTTTTATTTTTTTCTCGTGGTTTCTCCAGCTTCCGACGCTTTGAGCTAAGTTTCAGATAGTCGAAACATTTTATCTTTTTTTCTTCTTATTATTATTTTATTTGTTACTCTGTTGTCAATCAATTATGCGAGGGCGATTTCATTTGTCAGGGTTATTTGGTCATGTAGATAAGAGACTGGAAGACAAAACTTATGCGAATAAAAATATAAACTGTCTTTTCTTAGTTTTATATACAGAACACAAAATGGGACAGATGAAAAGACAAAATGACCGTCTCGTTGTTTATATATATCTTTTTTTTTGTGTATCTTTAATTTCAGTTTTTGCGCCAATATATCTATATGAGTTGGGCTGTATCTAGCTACTTTAATGGTTTTCTGTCTTTATAATTATCTACCTGAGATCTATCTATCTATCTATCTATCTATCTATCTATCTATCTATCTATCTATCTATCTATCACATTCTTTCAAAATCGCTTTATATTTCGATCTATTACAGCCAATCCTTATCTATCTATCTATCTATCTATCTATCTATCTATCTATCTATTCAAAGGAATGTTGAAAGGTTCTTCGTCTGACCCACTTTCAAACATCGGAACAAAAGACGAAACTTTATTTTTTAAACAGTCCTCGTGTGTATTCACACACACACGCACACACACATATATATATATATATATATACACATATATATATATATATATATATATATATATATATATATATATATATATATATATATATATATATCAAACAGACAATGAAATTGTATTAAGACTTTTGATGTGTTCCCCCTGGAGTCGAAAAAAGTCGTTTGATGTCTGGTGCAAACTTGTTAAGAAATTTCACTTAAATTGTGTACAATAAGTGCCATTCACTAAAAGTAATAGAAAGTATATTTAATAAAAGAAGGAGCGTTACCTTACCTACATATCAAAAAATACTAGATAAACCTAGAGAGCCAGACAAACCTACCAATGTTTCACCTAAGCGGATCGTCAGGGAAGGCTGGCTCTCTTGTTCGATCCGCTTAGGTGAAACCTTGATAGGTTTGTCCGACTCTCTAGGTTTAACTAGGTCTGCTCTACTCATTGTATTGAGCACTTTATTTAGTTATTTTGGGTACTCGCATCGGGTTTTTTTTTCTTTGGGCCTTGAACTCGTATTCTGTACGATTATTTGTCAGCTAACGTACATATTCTTGGTTCTTTCTTTTCTTATACATTTTTTTCTTTCTTTATACGTTTTTTTCCCTTGGTATGGGCTTGTTTATTTGCAAATCAAGACACCGAAGGTTTTACGAGCGAGTATAGGTTCTTATACTTATAAGATTCCTATTAATAATATCTAAAAATGTTAATATATATATATATATATATATATATATATATATATATATATATATATATATATACGTATGTAAAATTTAGACAGAGACCCAAGTTTGATTTCTACACATGAACACCTTTTTTTTCATTAGTAACATTTATCGGATGGGCATTGGGCGTATTGAGAATATCGTTTGAAGTAATATATATGTCAGATTAAAACTAGAACCATTAATTCTTTTCACACTACCAAACGCCCACATTAGAACAACTGATGAAATCCTGAGGGCACAACGCCCGAAAATTAGTGATAACAACAATAATGATGAGGAGAATAGACCAAATATAAATTGTGTAAATATAACCCATAATATATTTTTCTCTGTTCCAGAAAGAAAAAATCTAGTAAAGTTGGGTGACATGAAAGTTCGTAGAAAACAAAAAAATTCTACTTGTGGGTAGTGTAACTCATAGTGAAAACTCCTTAGCTCAGAAAATTAGACTGAAATCAAATTCTTTTATATCGTTCCGTCTATTAAATAACTTGCTATCTTATGGAAATAGTTGATCTGTTGCTGATCATTATTGATATAAAGATTTATTCTCGTGAGGCTGAACAATGGATCGGCCGTACTTTGTATTAACGGTATTAAATATAAAACCAAAGAGATTCCAGCGTTCGACCAAGGGTGGTATTTTAATGACATTAAACGGAATCATATACTATAACTTTTTTTCTTCTCGATTTGCCTTTTCCTTGCGTATCCTTTTCTCTTTATATCATCGTCCTGGTTTCTTATCTTCTTAAGTATTCTTTAAACATTTTTTTTCGAATTATCCTAGATTCTTCATTGTTTTTAGCCTTCATATTTTCAATCCTCTCGATTCTGACTTAGTCACATATTTCTAACGAATTTTCTGTTTCCACCTCGTCTGTTAAGCAGAATTTGGAACATAATTATTGAATTGTGCTCTTTATACTTCACAGTGATTCTTTATTCACCTTCATTTGATATTGTTTTTGCAGTTTACTCCCCCAACTGTTCCAGTTTTCAAGACGATATTAATATGCTGGTATAATTCAATCCATTCTTTTACTGTGATTGAGATCATCCATATTTTATACCCTTTTTTTTCTACCATTTACCCTTTATCATTTTTAATTAACACTATATTTTCTTAGCTCTGTGTTGCTCTGTAAGGTTATCCATATGTTTTCTCTTACTTAACTACCCTCCGGCCTTGTGTCTCATTCGTTTGCGTTCTCTCTTTTATTGTCATTGTAAATAATCCCCTTAATTGTGTCTCATTCTATTCTTCACTTTGTAAATCATTCCCCACCGTTTTGTCTCTGTCGCTGTGGTAATCATTCATTTCTTCGTTTTACTCATTGTTGGCCGCATTTTCTTAGTCATTCCGGGCGCCATTTTTTTTTTTCTTCCCAAACATCGTTCCACATTCATTTGTTGCGAGCCGGGTGTGTGTATACACGAATTATGAAAAGAAATACGTGTGTACTCCTGGAAAAATAACAAACAAGAAATATGGCAGACTCGAAGAATGAGTCTATCTAAAGAAATCTAAAACAGCAAGAATCGATATATATATATATGTACATACAATTATGTGTATTAAACAACAAACGAATTTAAAATAGACAAAGACATTAACGTGTGTGTGTAGAAATTTCGTGTTTCGTGAGTTCGTGTGTGTATAATGTTCATGGTATCTCCCACAAGCGGGAACGATTATCTTCTGCGCAAGATTACATGGTCGTTGTTCGCTGAAAATGTAAGAGAGAGAGAGAGAGAGAGAGAGAGAGAGAGAGGCTAGGGTCTCGTCAAGTATACATAGTAATTAGATAGCTCCCACGAGTGGTGGTGTCAGAATTTAGGAGGAGATAACTCCGACACATTTATGTAGAGTATAATTATCTTCATTATCATACATATTTGTGCGTCCCGTTTCTTTCACGTACAACGTCTTTCTTCTCAAATTACATCATTTGTATACGTTTTATGTCGTCCTTTAATATACACTATCCTTTTTCTTATACAGAATAATTATTGTATGTTTTATCCCATTCTTCAGTGTCATTTTTCTAACTAAATAATTCTTGTACGTTTGTTTTATTCTTTCATGTACAGTTTCATTCTTAATGATTATATTTTGCTTTGAAACATTTTCTTACGTTCTAGATTTTCTCAGTTTTCTTAGATATTCACTTATGTTTCGTTTTATCCAATTCAGATCTCTACATATCTTCATTATGACTTTCGTTGTGTGTCAGTATATCAAAGTTCCCTGTTTTGCCTTAGTTTTGTCCAAGTAACTCAGGTTCTCTTGACTCCTCTTGTCGCACACATGTCATCCGTTGTAAGTCAGCCTGTAAGGTCTTTCTTCCATTTCTCTGGTTAGTCTCTCAGTTCCTCCATCTTCCGTCGCTTTCTGTGCAATTTTCCTTCGTTCTTTCTTGGCTTGTCCGTCAATTTTGGGTATATTCTCCTTCCATGTGCCTGAATAGGTTCCATCTTTCTTTCTTCAATTTCTGGTCGTCCATCTTCCCTCCACACACACACTCTAACTGTCTCTCTCTTTCTTTCTGTCTCTCTGCCTTTTTCCTGTTTCGCTTTTCTAATTCGATGTCATATCGCTTTCCCGCCATTTCTTTCTTTAAAGCGGGTGATACTCTTCATAGAGCTTTGTATGTTTATCTTCCATTTTCTCAAAGTTTTCCCCTTTCTCAAACTCCTTTAATATTTCTTCTTCTTCTTCTTCTTCTTCTTCTTCTTCTTTCTTCTTCTTCTTCTTCTTCTTCTTCTTCTTCTCTCTCGCCATATTTCGCCTTCCTTACATCTCAGTCTGCCACCATTACTCGTTTTTCTCCATCTCTTTTCTTTCTATTCGCCTTAACGGGATCTAAAATCTATAATTAACCATATTTCATTTTGATCATAAATTCCTGTATTTCCGACTGCCATAGCGCCTGCGCAGTTTACACTGAGATAAATAGACGTTCGCGGTGAAATCAGCTGTAAATAGGTACGTAATAAAGGGACGACACATATTAAATGTGACAGAGAATGAGCGCTCACAAAGATAACGCGCCTTGTGTATAGAAATCCGTGGTTAACTTTATGTACTGTACATCAGTCTTTTCTAGAAATTCATCGTAAAACCTTTCGCAGATATAAAGTAAAACACACACACACACACACTCACACACACTCTCTCTTTCATACACACACACACATATATATATAGATATATATATATTATAATTACGAGATTTAGTTTGTCAGGTGGCTACAAAAGAAATCGATAGTGTATTCGATCATCTATGCACAACGATGTGTCGGATTACTAGCGAAAATTGATACGAATATTTATTGATCGATCTAACAGAGTTATGTGGCAAATTTTATCTATCAGGACAACGTATTGTCAATCTCTTATTATCCGTTTTTATATGAAATTATCTTAGATTTATATGAGCTTTAATCTACCTACGTAATATACCTGACTATGTCTCTGTGCGAACTAAAATTTGTACACGGGGGCATGCTCAAAAAAAAAAAAGAATTAAAATAATTCCTCCGTTTTTCGTGCAACTAAAACTAACACAGAAATAAGAAGCAAGTTATGACCCTTACCTAGAGAAGATTTTCAAATACGAAATAATATTTTCCCCATGTAACCATCAGCATAAGTTATGAAACTCTTCCTGTAATGTTCAAGTGTCTGTACTGAACGAAAAATCTTCACTTATGAAGACGACAGACACATCATTACTCGAAGCGGAATAAATACCGCCTTACTTTACTCACAATTGGCATCTTACAAAAGACCAATATTGTATATCAATTTAAATGCATTTGGGAGGTTTCATCACAAATCAAAATATGAATACATATCTTGGTTTTACAAGGACGACATTGACGAGACGGCTTACGTTTAATTTGAATGAGGATAGTTCGATCTCAGACCATTTAAAGGAAAACTCATGTCCAAAATCACTGTTTAGACAGATATTAGTCGAAAATACATTAGTACTTCACCAAAATAATAATAAACTTAAAATTCTGGAAACAATTTATCTAAGAGATTTGCAGCCAAAAATAAGTAAAATCAACTATAAGTAAAGCAACAAAGTTCTTAAATGTTTGCAGCAGCAAAGATTTATATATTAAATTAAAATATTATAATTACAAAATTAAAAATCTTTTTCATTTTTTAAATATTAAAAATAAAAAAATTAAAAAGTTACTCCCTTGCAATTTGTAACGATGTAAACGAAAGGTGAATATTGTTTTGAATTTACGGAGCAACTCTATGCAAAGATATTTTAACTACCTGAAGACGGTTTCAGATAAGATTGAAAGTACTTGGCAAAATAAAAATTATTTGAAAGAAAATTTTCGGATTTTTCTAAATCAATTTTCTACAGCCAATAAGAAATTAATTCGTCGTCGTGAAAGGATTGAAACTAAAAAAAATATACATAATACGTCTAAACTAAACTATCTATATCCATGCATGCTTGAATGAAAATATGCTTCCTAAAATACACACACGCACACACACACACACTCACACACACACACACACACACACACATATATATATATATATATATATATATATATATATATATATATATATAATATGAAAGTGAAACATAGAAGTCAACACTTAGAGGCGACAGTCTGTTTCATGCTAGACGCAATCGTCAGGCCACGAGTGCTTTTATTTTTTCTCGGCTATTTATATATACAGGTCAGTGGTGCATTGTGGGTAGTCTATTTTGGCGGTTATTTTACCGGTAGTCGTTTATTTGTTTATTCATTTGGGTTAAATTATTTTGCTTCGTTTTATTTATTTTTATTTTTATTTCTTATCTTATATATTTATTTATTTATTTTTTTAATCGGTATTTTAATTAACGTAGTAAAAATATATCGCTTATTTAATAGTTTTGATTTGGTTTGAGAAGATAATCAAAACTATTTATTCAATTTTGGGTTTGATTGTTGTAGTTTATATATATATATATATATATATATATATATATATATATATATATATATATATATATATCTGTGTTTTGTGTGTGTGTGTGTGCCCTACTAGTATTAGATGGCCACTCTTCGTATTCGAAGCTGCCTGTCTACTAGATCGGCTAGCTAATTCCTATTGCAGACGCTTGCTCAGGCGCATTTTGTGTTTGTTCAAAACTCGCAGAGTCCACCTGTGGTTTACGCTGCATCTATGCTGAGCTGACCTTACTTAAAGTTTGTGGGGGCGCGCGATTTATAATCCATAATCAACAATCTGGACAACGCTATCACGCTCAAGCCCTCGAACACGACGATTTGTGGCTTCGTGCTAGCACAGCTTTCGACATCTTCACCCGCCAAGGGTTCCGTCTACCCAATTTCACTCACAAGGATTGGGTCAACCTGTGGTATAGTTTTTTCAGGCACATAAATAACCAACTTTTCCAATATGATGGTTGCCCATTAAACAACCTCACTCGGTATTGTTTCTCAAACCACCGAGTAACTCCACTGCTTCAACGATGATTAATAAGATCATGTCTATTTATCACACACCCATATTCACTCAAGTCCCGCAGACCCCTTGAGGGTTATCGCCACAACAAGTATTGATATTGCAGTTTCCATAGAAAATAGGGCTGCTACTAGTTCCATTATCGACAGGTTTTGAGTTCCAAGTTTTCATTTCCCTAGACTGGTTACCAACCACAGCTAAATAGCCCAGTTTGCTCTGTTAATTCACACATAAATGCCGCTAAAAAAGAAGGGGTTTATCCCTTTTTCAATGGAATTTACGCTTAAGTGAATACAATCATCTCTACTGCAATTGGAACTCCGTTCTCCGAATTCACATTCCGTGCCCTAACATTGTACATTGTTATATTATCTGTTAATATTTCAATTGACTGCATAAGTTCAGGTCAGGCCACGAACATTATTATGGCCTTTCCCGATAATAAGAAGAAATGTCAGGAAAAAAAAAATCTTACTATTCAAACATTTATTCAAGTTTAATGTACAATATGCTTAAGAAAATTTTCCCGGTAAATGATGAATATTTACAATGCTTCAAACAAAGAAATACGTCTATTAAAATTAATGAATATATTGTCGATATTAAAGTCTACCACATTTGTTTTGCAAAATTCGCTTCTTTGAAAGTATACAGTGTGCTGAAAAACATAGGTCTCGTTGATAGATGAACCTGTCAAAGAGACTCGTATTTACATCTGAAACAAGCGTAATAAACGGGAGAAGGATTTTCAAATTAGTGAAAACCACTCTGATGGAACTGCGTATTTATTCCTGATAGCTTGACCTATTTATTCGGAGCAAATAATTAGATAAGGCACTGGTATATATATATATATATATATATATATATATATATATATATATATAATCATTTATTCAAGAATAATAAGATGAAAATGTTATAAAATCACTACAAAAATAACCATTTTCTTTCAACACTTCTGGTACCTTATCAACTGATGGTTTTGTTAACACCATCACTTGATAAGACACCATGATTGTTGAAACAAAATGGCTATTTTTGTAGTGATTTTATAACATTTTTATGTTATAATTTTGGAATAATTTATTATATTTACTCTACTCTGTATTGAGGAGTCTTTTAAGAATAGTATTTGTTGGTTTTTGGAATTTATTCCGTAAACAACAATCCTATACATTATCTCACATCCTTTACATTATTCGGACTGGTATCTTCATCTTCATTGCCATATTCACATTTCAGCCGTTGTACGCACTGGCCTTTTTCATGTGATTGGAATTTTGAACGGATCCCTTTAATTCTCCCACCGGGGTATATTGTTCTAGTTACACGTGCCATGACTCCTCTTAATGACTCAGTTATTTCTCTTTAACTCAATTCTCCAAGTTTTTGGTTCACCACACCTGTCGCTTGGTACTTAACTCACAAATCTTTGTGTCTAGTCACTGGATCTAATTAAGTTCTTTATCCACTGTGCGATGGGTCCTTGAGTTGATAGAGACGTTGTTTAAATCCAGTGACAAGAATAAAAGAGTTGTGAGTTCAATACCAGGCCACAGCAGTAGTGAACCAAACTTCTAGACGGTTTAAATAATGTAAGTAATCATAAAACCTCATCTCAGAGATATAGACAGATATATTATCTCTCATCGACAGCACGTTTCGGTGTTTCGTGCAATACGCAATCTTCAGGTGCTGAATATAAACTGGCGTAATTTAAATTTTAAAATATATCTGTTTATCGTAATTTTGGCTTAGATACATATCATATTTTGATATACAGTATTTAAATTTTAAAATTTTTTTTCGCATTTAAAAAAAAACAGAAAATAAAAAAAATAAAATTATTTTAGATTTATGAATATATTATTTTGGGAATAATATATTGCACATTTTATTTTTTGAATATATATATATATATATATATATATATATATATATATATATATATATATATATATATACACGTTTCATTAAAGACGACAGACAAGGTTCTAAGATTTTATTTAATTTTTTTTTTTGTGTTCGAACAAGTGTTTTTATTTTTGGACACATGTTCTATAACTCCAAGCGCTTTCGTCTCTACTTTTAGCTATTATCTAGGATGATTTCAATTTTGCTTTTTAATTGAGAGCATGGGTTGTGAATATGTTTTTAGAGTTATAAGACATGATGGCCGTGTTCGTCGTTAATATTATTACTTGTTCGCTTTTTTCTTTTTTATTATTAAGGCTTCCATTGTTTTTTAACTTTTTTACATGTGGATGAAGTTTTTATGTTTATATTTTCTACCAGTATTATTAATATATATATATATATATATATATATATATATATATATATATATGTGTGTGTGTGTGTG